AGCCATCATTGTTGTTTGGCAGGCCTGGGCTGGATTCGAACCCACCACCTTAGGTGTATGTGGCTGGTGCCTTAGCCACTTGAGCCACAGGCGCCAAGCCCCTTGTGTATCCTTGAATAAGATCCCCTGAAGTCCCGAAGGGGCTGTCACCATTTCAGCTATCACAGAAAGAAACAATAGTGTCCCAGAGGGTGTGAGTGGGTTTTTAATCAGCAGGGAAGCCCTTCCTAGAAAACTCCAGATAAACTTTTCTCTCATTTGCCAGGACTGAGTCCTTCCTCTCTTCCTAAAACCAAGTACTGGCGAGGGGATTGGGATTTCAGGAACTGGTCTGGATGATTCAGAATTTAATCCTGAGTTATGTGAGGTCAAGGTGGACAACCCAGATAAAATGGAGGCTCTCTAGAAAAGGAGAAGGATGTACTAGCCTCTTACAAAGCATAAAGGAAAACATTCCTCACAGAAAAAACACACACGCACACATACACCACACACCTATAAGCCACTACTTTATAATCTCCTTTTAAGAGCACAAGAAATTATAGTAGAACCTCCATAGTTGACTGCCTTGCAGTATTGACCACCTCCTTAATTTTCTTAGACTGGTCATGTACCACATGTACTTATCAGCACAGTAGGCCTAGACCACTTCTGTATGTTGACTAGTCTGTACAGTCTCTGCTTCTATTGCATTCGAAATCACTACTTTTCTTTGCTTTTTTGCTTGTTTGTTTGTTTTTCTGTTTCTTGGTTTGCTTTTGGTCGTTACCTCTAACTCCTGGGCTCAAGTAATTCTCCCATCTCAAGCGTTCCAAGTAGCCAAGTAGCTGGGACTACAGGCAGGTGCCACCACATCCACCTAAGTTTTTAAACATTCTTTTGTAGACACAAAGTCTCTCTATTGCCCAGGCTGGTGTCAAACTACTGGCTTCAAGCAATCCTCCTGCCTCTGCCTCCCAAAGAACTGGAATTACAAGCATGAGCCACGGAGCCTCACCTCTCCTTTGGTCTTAATTGCTTGCTAAATTTTAATTCGTTTCATGTTTGTACTCATACTGGCGGACATGGCTTTATACCAAAGAAATGCAAAGAAGCAGAGGCAAGCCAGTGGCTCAGTCAGATGTCATCTCCACAAAATGCAAGGAAGAGAGCAATTATTGGTATTTCTCAGAGGTCAACAGACATCTTTGTAAAGGGCCAGATAGTTAATATTTTAGGTTTGGGCACTGAATATATACCATTTCTATCATAAGTATGCAACCCTGCCATTGTAATGGATAAGATGTAAGCTAACAAATGAGGCTGTGTTACAATGAAATCTAACTTATGGATACTGAAATTAGAATTTAAATCAGTTTTCAGGGGGCAGTAAATAGTGCTCTTCTTTTAATTTTTTTTTCAATCAGTTACAAAGTGAAAGACCATTTTCAGCTGTACAAAAACAGGTGGCAAGCCATATTTGGCCCATCAGCCATAGACTACTAACCTCTCATATTTGGTTTTTTTTTTTTTTTTTTTTGAGGCAAAGTCTCACTGTTGCCCAGCCTAGAGTG